TAACGACCCAGGCACATTCAGTGATCAATAAATAGCTGTTGAATGGCTGGCCACCTCTGTCCTCTAAGCACTCGACTAGGTACTATGGAAATTGGAATACTTTTCATACATGTGATGAATACATATTTGGCTAAGACTCATTTCTCAAAAATGTCTTAGCATACTTAAATAAAAGAGCTATAGGTGTGAGGGGGAGTATTAAAGAAGATCTGAGTGTTGGCAAGGGAAGGCTGGCTGGCAGGGCACCAAAAAGTTTCACAGGGAGGCACCTCTTTGGTGACTATGGCATATCAGACTGGCCAATCCCAGCACTTGACATGTCAGTGTCCCAGAAATGATTGCACTTACCCATGCTGAATACTTACGCATGTTTCAGTCACGTAACTGAAACTTACAAGAAGGTGAAAAGCATAAATCAAAACATGTCTTTATAATTTATATTTAAAACTATAGTTGTCGAAAGAACTATTTCAATTTTTTGGCCACAGCAGCGCATTCTTTCCCTGTAATAAAACACATAGGAAGCCCCAGTATAAAAATGTTACTTGTTTGTGCAAGGGAATAAAACACAGAGGAAGTATATGGTTTAGCAAAAATTATCACCTAAAAAATAATTCAAGTACACTGAGCCATTTTCCATAAGGAAATAACTCTGTAAGCACTTTACATGAATTATCTTATTTAATCTTAACAATCGTCATTTAAAATGGTATCACTACTATCCCCACTTTATAGACCAAGGAGTTGAAGTTTGGAGCTATTGAGCCACTTCTCCCAACATATTACCTCTCTAACTCTGAAATCTTGACTTTGGATACCAAGCTCTTAATCTTTATGCAATAATATTATATTTATTATGAACTATTAATAACTAGGCATTCAAAACATGAAGGGTAGTAAGGTAGACACCATTCCTTCCCAAGTGGAGCTTAAAGGTTAATGGAAAAAAATCAGATATTTTTATAGCTACTTACTCACATAATTAAATCTAATTGTAACTGTACTGAATCACCAATAAGAAGTTCACTCTCATCAAAGTGGACAGGCAATTCTTTGAGGAATTGAAATTTTGGCTGAGATCTATACATTCTGCCAGTTGTTACAGATAGGGAACTAGCTCTCAGTGGCAAGGAGATAGGCTTACTAAAAAAAGTTAAAGAAGCACAGGGAGAAAATGGGACAAGATGAGTTTAAAGAGATAGACCCTGCTTTTATGCTTTCCTTGCCATTCACAGAAGTTTGGATGCTAAGTCATTAAGGACTTTTAATCTCAAGAATGCTTAAAACAGAATCATATCTGTGATTTAAAATGATGACAATAGTTTGCATAATGAGAACAGATGAGATAGATGCAGAGAATTTAGTTAGAAGATTGCAGGGGTCCAGCTAGTGATGAAGATAGCTTGGGCTATTATGTGGCTATTGAATTATCCAGAACAAAGATATTCTCAGCTCAATGTTAAGGAATCAGGGCTCTTTTAGGGACAATTTGTGTTGATACTCACGATCTCAAAGCAAAATCTCTCAAGTAAGCTGCTGTGCTATTTACACACATATATACCTATGACCATCCTAGACAGCATATTAAAAAGCAGAGACATTACTTTGTCAACAAAGGTCCACCTAGTCAAACATATGGTTTTTCCAGTAGTCATGTATGGATGTGAGAGTTGGACTATAAGGAAAGATGAGTACTGAAGAATGGATGCTTTTGAACTATGGTGTTGGAGCAGACTCTTTGAGAGTCCCTTGGACTGCAGGAGATCAAACCAGTCAATCCTAAAGGAAATCAGTCCTGAGTATTCATTGGAAGGACTGATGCTGAAGCTGAAACTCCAATAATTTGGCCACCTGATGCAAAGAACTGACTCACTGAGAAAGACCCTGATGCTGGGAAAGATTGAAGGCAGGAGGAGAAGGGGATGACAGAGGATGAGATGGTTGGATGGCATCACCGACTGGATGGACATGAGTTTGAGCAAGCTCCAGAAGTTGGTGATGGACAGGGAAGCCTGGAATGCTGCAGTCCATGGGGTTGCAAAGAGTTGGACATGGTTGAGCAACTGAAATGAACTGATACCTGTTGCCATTTATTCAATCAATTTTCTCAGAAGAGTTAAATCCAGGAAGCTGTCAAATCTGTAAATAAGTTTAAATAATATTATTTTGGTGACATTTTCTGTTTTAAATAGTAGTTTGACATTTATTATTGGAGTAGAGTCAGCGTAACAAGCCATTCTTCCAGATGTAGTGACCACAAGAACACTGTTTTTGTTCACAAGAATACGCTTTTGATAAAGGACTGTAGCTAAGTGTTTATGCTCATGTTTTTTTTGCTGGACAATAAGGCTCAAAGCTCATTTGGGGAGCAGAGGCCAAGCACTTGAGAAGATATGGTTGGTGATTCAAATAGTAGGAGGTTTGATAGGCAGATACTCAATTCATGCCAAATATAAGGAGGGCATGGCAACCCACTCTAGTATTCTTGCCTGGAGAATTCCATGGACAGAGGAGCCTGGTGGGCTACAGTCCATATAATCACAAAGAATTGGACACCACTGAAGTGACTTAGCACAGCACACATAAGATACAAAGTTATGTATTTGGAGTGAGTATGATATGAAAAATAAAGAATTGGTTGGAAAGTTTCAACAAAATAAAAGGAAAAACAAGACAAAAGAAACATAAGCCTGAGAGTACAGAGCTGCAATCTCCAATAAATACCACTAGTCAGATGCGACTGTTCAGCCCTTTAAATGGGGTAATGCTAATGGAGATGTGCTACACTGTAACATGATATTCAAACTTAAAGACTTAGTGCAAAAAAAAAAAAAGGAAAATTTCTCAATAATAATATTGATTGCATGTTGAAATAATAATATTTTGGATCTATTGGTTTAAAAGAAATAGAATTAAATTCTATAAAATGATTATTTATACAATGAATTATCAATAAAAATTTGACTTCATATGTTCTTTTTTTAATTTTTATTAGTCATTTGTTCTTTATACTTTAAAACATGTGGCTGTCAGAAAATGTAAATTCTATATGTAGTTCACATTACATTTCTACTGGACAGCACTGGAATAGAGAAAAGAGTAAAGGTAAGTGTCCTCTATGAAATATGATAGAAAAATGTGAATAATTATGCATTTCTAAAATTTTTTAAATATATGGAGAAATGAGAGAATGTAAATTGTGTCAAAGACATCAGATTGTGCCATAGTGGTCTCCAAACTTAAGGATAGTTTGGAGTCTGAATGGCAGAAAAACTATTGAGTAATAATTTTTTATTTTATTAGTGTGCAATGCACTTTACAGATAATAGTGGACTTATAACAGGTTAGTATAAAGCAAGATTGTTTATTCTTATGAATTTACTGTAAAAAGATGACTTTGTGCCTTTACAAGAAAATCAGTTGGAAGAAGTCTCCAGATTCTTTAGATAAACCTCAAAGCTGAGTAAGACTATGAGAAGGCAATGATGTTGAAGTCCTTCTGAGATTTAAGCTGGTCTACAATCCATAAAGACCTGAGAAGTTTAACTGTATTTATGCTATTTTCACAAGAAGTCATAGCAACATTTGTACTTCCTAGAATTCTCCAAGGAATTCATTGAAATTTTGTTAAAAGGATTGTTTTTAAAATCTCAACCCATGAGAGGATCTAGACAAATCTACACATCTCTGCCTCTGCCACACGCCTTTGCTCACTCTCATTGAAGGCAAAGTATGGTTGTCTTTTTCATCAAAGAGACTGAATGAGTGTGGACTGGTACTTAAGCTTTCCACCTATTCCAAAAAGCTGAGTGTTTCCTTTCACTCTACATTTGTTTAATTGGCTCAAATGGAACAGATCTTAGGCTCTGGATAAATATGAACATGTGTGTCTTTGAAAGGATTTGAGAATGAGTCCAGACTAATAGAACTGGAACTACTTTATCCTGGGCAGCCACTTACCATTCTTCCCACTGGGAAAAGAAAGAGATTCAATTACTGCTAGGGCTTTTCCAGCATTCAGAGTGAAGTAGGAAATGAAGGCACTTCTGCCTCTATCATCCAGTATTTCAGGTGGGGTTTTGAGCTAAATTGTCTTCATTCTCCACAGGCCTCTATGCCAAAGTTAACAGCTGGTCAAATCCCTTTGGCATAAGGATTCATTTCCTCTTCTACATTGCTACGTCCAAACACTTTCTGGCCTCAGAAGTGAACCTAGAGCCTGTCGTACAGAGGGAAGTAAGTCAGAAGGAGAAAAACAAATCTGTATATTAATATATATGTATGGAATCTAGAAAAATGATATTGACGAACATATTTGCAGGGCAGGAATGCAGATGCAGATATGAGAATGGACTTGTGAACACAGGGGAGGAAGGAGAGCGTGGGACAAATTGACAGAGGAACATTGGCATATATACACTATTATTTGTAAAATAGATGGCTAGTGGGAAGGTAATACACAGGGAGGTCAGCTCAGTGCTCTGTGATGACCTAGGGTGGTAGGATGGGGTTACGGTGGCGGGGGGACGGAGGCTCAAGAGGGAAGGGGATATATGCGTACCTATAGCTGATTCACATTGTTGTGCAGCAGAAACCAACATAACATTGCAAAGCAATATCCACCAATTAAAAAACAAATTTTAAAAAAATACAAAAAGAAGTGAATCAGGAAGGCCTCAACATGTCAACAGTTGCAATCAATCTCTTTCCTGCACATTGCATGTTACCTGGTGGTTGTCAGTACTTCCACAAACATTGCTTCAGTTGACCCTCCTAATGAACTCTGGTATTGAGCAGGTAGATAACTGTTAACTCTGATTTTGCCTTAGGATCCTGAGTACACACTTCCGCACTGGATGCCTTGTTTTGAAAATGTTGCTGAACCCTCCCAAGGGTGACAGACATAGTGCAAATGAGGATTCAGTCAAACTGGTTAACCTTGGGTGTGTGCCACTGTCCAGGATTTCTTCATTTCCACAGGCTTCCCATCTCTCATTTTTCTAGCTTCTAGCTGCAATCGTATCTCACTGTCCCAAGCAAAAGTTCAGAAGTCCCTCATCGATAAGGAGTCCTCAGGAGCAGGGGAAGCTCTCTTAACTAGGTAAGATCAAGACTTAGCACAACTGGGAGGCAGGCTGGGCGTGGTAGCCAGGTATAGGGCTCTGCACTGAGGCTTCCTGTGTTCCTGTCCTAGTTCTGTCACCTCTTGGCTCTGTAACCTTGGGCAGATCTTTAATCTCTCTAAGCTTTTGCTAATTTCATTGACAAAATGAGGATAATAACAGTAGCTGTTTCAATGGCATTTCTTTGAGATCTAAATAACATACATGAAGCATTTAGAACAGGGCCTGGCACAAGCTGAGCCCTCAATACACATTAGCTATTATTAATTTCAAAAATGGTTTTAATTACATAACATTTATAGCTGTAAAATCATCTTCAACCAGATAGCAAGTTTATGGAAAGCTACTGAACTGCAAAAGTAAACTCTGAATTTCTCTAGAAATCTGTCATTAATTTATTACAATAAAGGTTCTCTGATGTGACTCTCATGCTCGTTCTTAGATTTAAAAAAAAAATAGTGAAAGAGCTTACACTGTGGTTAATGCATTATATGTCACTAATTCTCCCTACAATCCTATAAGGTAGGCTCTTTTATTATCCTAATATTACCAGCAGGAAAAATGAGAGATAAAGCTACTGAATAACATGGCCAAGGTCAGAAATCTTGTTCATGGTGAGCCTGGACTTCAAACTCAGACCACTGAACTGCTGCTCTCCTTTGATGAGTTACTCTGCATTGTGATGTTGGTCAAACTGCTTTGAGGAGGCATGCTTTTAAGCTCTGCTAAGGAAGAGACACTGCACATTCAAATGTGCAAAATTTGCCTTGGGTTGTTCACAAGAGAGGTAGTCACATCATTTGAAATTCACTATAAACCTGTTTGTTTAAAAGCTTCATTGTTCATTGTTCTTGTTTATTTTGTGGGATGTTGGAGGAGATTAACGAGTAACTCCACTTTTAGCTTCTCCATGGTGTGGAGAATCATAGTGTCCTCTGAATCTTTATATATCCTGGCAACTCACAGGTAAGCAAAGATTTAAATTAAGTGAAAATCCTGGATTAAAATAAGATAAAAAATAAGCCCTCATACTAGTTCATTTCATATCTGAAACTGGACTATGTCAGGGCAGTTTCTATGTGAAAAAATAGATCAATAGTGTTTGGAGTTAGCTCATTGTATTTACTCCCTTCCACACAGTCTCAGCTTTCTCAGGATGTTATTAAAGTTTTCCCTGGGGGACTATTTCATTTCATTAATCAACTTTGACATATAACAATTTGTGGTTCTTAAATGTTTTCTATCAGGCATTCCCACCATGTGGCTGTTTTTAACAACAGCCTGTTTGATTTGTGGAAATTTAAATGCTGCTGGATTCTTCAATTTGGAAAAAGAAGCGAATCCTGAAGTGTGGATGAATATTGTAAGTAATGGAGAATTCCAAAGAACATCAAATAAAGCAAATCAATAGGTGGTAAGATTATTGAAGTTCCTGTTATAGCAGAAAATCTCTGATATAGATAAAAACAAGTGATTTTTAGAGATTTGCTGGTGGCTGAGACAGTAAAGAATCTGCCTGCAATGTAGGAGACCTGAGTTTGATCCTTGGGTAGGGAAGATCCCTGGAGAAGGAAATGACTGCCCACTCCAGTATTCTTGCCTGGAGAATTCCATGGGCAGAGGAGCCTGGCGAGCTACAGCCCATGGGGTCTCAAAGAGTTAGACATGACTGGCAACTGAGCACACACAGATTTTAAGCCCTCTGGATGATATATGTGACTGCCGTCCACTGGACTGTGGTTTTATTACCTTTTAACCAAGAGCAGTCTCACAGTTGACATTTATATGTATATATTTATATATATAAATGTCAATTGTTTCATATATATATATGTGTGTGTGAGTCACTTTGCTGTACCCCTGAAACTAAAACAACATTGTTAATCAACTATACCCCAGTATAAAATAAAATCTTTAAAAATATGAATATGTACATTTTGTGTATACACAATGGAACTTTACCCAGCCATAAAAAGAATAATGCCATTTGCAGTTATATTGATGGACCTAGAGATTATCATACTATGTAAGTCAGAAAGAGAAAGACAAATAGCATATGAAGTCACTGACAAATGAACTTATATATGAAACAGGAGCAGACTCACAGATAACAGACTTGTGGTTACCAAAGTTGAGGGGGGGTTAGAGGAGGGTTTGGGATTAACAGGTGCAAGCTATTATGTATAGAATGGATAAACAACAAGGTTCTATTGTCTACTGTCTAGCACAGGAAATTATATTCAATATCTTATAATAAACCATAATGGAAAAGAATATGAAAATATATATATATAATACATATATAGTGTGTGTATAAAACTGCATTACTTTGTTATATACCAGAAACTAACACAAATTTGTAAATTAACTACATTTCAATTAAAATATATCTATATGTACTTAAAAAAGACAACTCACTTGAGAATATAGCTTTGTCAGAAGAATGGGTCAAAGATAGATATTATCTTCAACTCCCCCCAAAAATTTACCACTAGCAGACATTTTCCAATAGTCTACTTATTTTTTTAATCATGACTTTACATAGTAAATTAATCTCACTGTTAACCTGGGGCTGCAGATTTCAGATAATTTACCCTAATAAGCACACACTAGCTGCTTTGTTCTAGCTCCTTTTGATAACCTTTAGAGAAAATGTTTAGCTAATGCTTCTGTTTTACTGGGCAGAATGAAATCATCACCTATAATGGCTACCCCAGTGAGGAGTATGAAGTAACCACCCAAGACGGGTACATACTCAGCGTCAATCGGATTCCCCATGGGCGAAAAGACACTAGGATCACAGGTACAAAACGTGTCTATCTTGAGAAGGAGAATTGCCCATGACTAAAATTTAGTACTGGCTGTTCATTAAGATAGTGACTGATTTATCAAAATTGGTTTGAATTTTGGATTAGTTTTTATATAGTTAACAGGAAGTCTCATTGTTTTCCAATTCTCTGAAGGCAGGCAAGAACCGAAAATTTCAAAGGGTAGAATTGATCTGGTTGACTGCTGCCAGACTTGCTTCTTAGGGAGTCAGTGTGGAGGTGAAGCCTACATTATGTCAGCTCATTACTTATTTCTCATGTGAGAAATTGCTGTATTCCCATAAAGTGGATTTCCTCATTGTTGGAAAGAGATTATATATACGCGTCAATCCCAATCTCCCAATTTCTCCCACACAACCCCCTTTCTCCCTAGGTATCCATGTGTTTGTTCTCTACATCTGTGTCTCTATTTCTGCTTTGTAAATAAGATCATCTATACCATTTTTCTAGATTCCATATATATATGCTAATATATGATATTTGTTTTTCTTTTTCTGACTTACTTCACTCTCTATGACACTCTGTCTTATATACCAGAAACTAACACAAATTTGTAAATTAACTACATTTCAATTAAAATATATCTATATGTACTTAAAAAAGACAACTCACTTGAGAATATAGCTTTGTCAGAAGAATGGGTCAAAGATAGATATTATCTTCAACTCCCCCAAAAAATTTACCACTAGCAGACATTTTCCAATAGTCTACTTATTTTTTTAATCATGACTTTACATAGTAAATTAATCTCACTGTTACCTGGGGCTGCAGATTTCAGATAATTTACCCTAATAAGCACACACTAGCTGCTTTGTTCTAGCTCCTTTTGATAACCTTTAGAGAAAATGTTTAGCTAATGCTTCTGTTTTACTGGGCAGAATGAAATCATCACCTATAATGGCTACCCCAGTGAGGAGTATGAAGTAACCACCCAAGACGGGTACATACTCAGCGTCAATCGGATTCCCCATGGGCGAAAAGACACTAGGATCACAGGTACAAAACGTGTCTATCTTGAGAAGGAGAATTGCCCATGACTAAAATTTAGTACTGGCTGTTCATTAAGATAGTGACTGATTTATCAAAATTGGTTTGAATTTTGGATTAGTTTTTATATAGTTAACAGGAAGTCTCATTGTTTTCCAATTCTCTGAAGGCAGGCAAGAACCGAAAATTTCAAAGGGTAGAATTGATCTGGTTGACTGCTGCCAGACTTGCTTCTTAGGGAGTCAGTGTGGAGGTGAAGCCTACATTATGTCAGCTCATTACTTATTTCTCATGTGAGAAATTGCTGTATTCCCATAAAGTGGATTTCCTCATTGTTGGAAAGAGATTATATATACGCGTCAATCCCAATCTCCCAATTTCTCCCACACAACCCCCTTTCTCCCTAGGTATCCATGTGTTTGTTCTCTACATCTGTGTCTCTATTTCTGCTTTGTAAATAAGATCATCTATACCATTTTTCTAGATTCCATATATATATGCTAATATATGATATTTGTTTTTCTTTTTCTGACTTACTTCACTCTCTATGACACTCTGTCGGTCCATCCACATCTCCCAAATGACCCAATTTCATTCCTTTTCATGGCTGAGATATATTTTATCGTATACATGTACCATATCTTCTTTATCCATTCCTCTGTTGACAAACATTTGGGTTCCTTCCATGTCCCAGCTATTGCAAACAGTGCTGCTATGTATCCTTTTGACCTATGAGGGAAATGTAACCACAAATCATCTGAGGAGGGAGAGAGAACAGTAAGCAAAGTATCTCAAAGGCTCAGTGGTCTTTATTTACCAAATCATTTACTGTGATCGCTCTGCATTATCTCATCTCCCATCCACATTCAGAGGCAGCTAAAATCATGTTGCTTAAGAATTCAAGAGTTTCAGAATGAAAAATGGGAGCGTGACATGGGTAGGATTACTATATAAAATATGAGATGCCCAGTTAAAATTGAATTTCAGATAAAGAGCGGATGAGTTTTTCATGTCTCATTTTATGATATACTTATATTAAAAAGCCAGTTCATTGTTAATATGAAATGTAAATTTAACAGGGCATCCTGGGTCTTTTTGTTTACCTTTATTTTTGTTTTTGGCTCATCTTGCAACACCAAGCATGATGAGGAGTTGTGGGGAGCCACTGTGAAATATAAAAGGAGAAACATTTATAGGAAAGACATTGCTTAAGAAGGGAGGATAGAATTTGGGCAAGATTGGGAATTAAAATATATTTATTATGTGTCTCTTTTTTGATTTGGGTTTTTTTTCCAGTGGGGTGTGTGTGTGTGTGTGTGTGTGTGTGATTCTTATGTTTCTCAGATGCTTTCGTTATAAATTTCTCTCTCTGCCTTCTTGCCTCCCTCTAGGTGCCCGACCAGTTGTATATATGCAGCATGCCCTGTTTGCAGACAGTGCCTGCTGGCTTGAGAATTTTGCCAACGGCAGCCTTGGATTCCTTCTAGCTGATGCTGGTTATGATGTATGGATGGGAAACAGTCGGGGGAACACTTGGTCAAGAAGACACAAAACACTCTCAGTGAATGAAGAGAAATTCTGGGCCTTTAGGTAAACTCTATCTAAGAAAGACCATGAACACAATTTGAGACAAGTCCTTTAAATGTAATAGTGTGGATGGTATTCATAATATGTATGATACTTGGGGTCATAGAGCTCCTTGCAGTCTCTACTAACAGCTCAAAGGAGATAAACAGCTGCGAAGTCACCTCAGTCATGTCCGACTCTATGTGACCCCAAAGACGGCAGCCCACCAGGCTCCCCCGTCCCTGGGATTCTCCAGGCAAGAACACTGGAGTGGGTTTCCATTTCCTTCTCCAAGGCATGAAAGTGAAGTCGCTCAGTCGTGTCTGACTCAGCAACCCCACGGACTGCAGCCTACCAGGCTCCTCCGTCCATGGGATTTTCCAGGCAAGAGTACTGGAGTGGGGTGCCATTGCCTTCTCCAAGATAAATAGCAGGAAGCTCTGATTTACACTGATTCTTCGACAAGTGAATTATCATTTCAACAAGGTCATTTTAACATACATTTCTATCTAATACAAGGTATGTCTCAAACGACAGCTTAGAAAATTCCTGGAACAACGTATGCACTCATTCAGCCAATATTTATTGAGTGCCTTTCCTATGTACTGTTCTAGTCCCTGAGCATCCAAGAGTAAACAAGCCTCCACCTTCACGAAGCTTATATTTTTATCCTAGTGATGTTATTACAATTTTTTCTTCTCTTGGACTGTCAATTAGTTTTGCAAAGATGTTGTGTATCAGTACTATATTTTACCTATAGGAACTGTGGTTGAGAATGTATAGAATACCATTTTCAGGAAAACTCTAATATGAGATCTTTACAACCTTGTTAATAGGCAATAGGAAAGAATCTTTTGACATGCTGACTGCTTGCTTTAATGAAAGTGTTTTCTTCTGTCATCAGAGAACAGGCTGATGCCTGCAGTGAGCATCCTTTCTCAGGCTTAAACTCCCTGGTTGTTTGAAGCCTGCTGCTAGAACAGAACCATATTAATGAAATATTCCATACCTTATTTCTGTACCTACTGACAAGTTGGAAGCAAAGGAAGAATAGGCCAATTAGGGTCAGAGCTTTTTCCCAGGGGCAAGCATCGGGAAATATTTTGTGCAGCTGATCCTTGGTTGGGAACTTGCAGCTTGTTTACTGTAAGGCATCACAACGATTCTCTTATACTGGAAAGTACCAATCTATATTTCCTCTTATGTTCTTTTAATAAGGAGGCCCTTAGTTTGTGAAGTACCTAACTCAACCGTATATTATTTAGGCATTTTTTGTTCTTTCAACATTTGTATTAATGTTGGCTGACCCAGTACTATAGGATTTTGGTATATATTGAATATAACTGCATATGGACAGAAATAATAACAGCAACATCTGATTGAATGTCTAATTCCTGCTAGAGTCATTCCTTTAATACTATCCAGCCCCCATAACTCCCCTGCAATAAAGCACTATCATGCTTATTTTACAGATGATGAAATTTAAGCTCAGAGCATTTACGTAATTTACGGAAAGCTACTCAGCTAGTACATGATACAATCGTGATTTACAACCACTTTCATTTTGAAATCTGGGTGTTAAATGGCCCTAAGCATCTTGAAGTTCCCTGGGAGAGACTGAAAGAGAGGCATGCAAGCCAGGTAGGTAAAGGGCAGCAAAAGAAATGCAAGAGAAGGGAGTGAAGAGGAAGAATGATAAGACAATTTCAGAAAATGTAGTATACACAAGGTATGTCTTGAAATCATTCCTGCTATTAGAAAGTAATGCGTATAAGTGCAGCAAACAAAACCCACAATAGCCTACATGTAACTGGATAAATAATGAAACACAAACCAAGTGAGTGGACAGCACAGAATTCTGTGTATAAAAAATAAATGAGTAAGTGCTCTGCTTTGAACTTAGCTGCGAATACTTATAAGGTCCTGTTTTATTCTTCAGCTTTCATGAAATGGCCAAATATGATCTCCCTGGAATCATAGACTTCATTGTCAATAAGACTGGTCAGCAGAAGTTGTATTTCGTTGGACATTCGCTTGGTACTACAATAGGTATGTTTACAAGGGTCAACATTTTTACAAGGGTCAGAGCCATGCAAGAATTCACCTTTGAGTCAGGAACAGAGTCACTGTTTTACATTTATAGCGTCCTTAATTCTATGTCCTGTGATGGGAATGTAACTCTAGTGGCTGTAAACCTGAATTCCAGAGACTGTGAGTTCCTAGGAAGAATCTTTCATCCATTTCCGGTCACTGCATCACATTTGTAATGTTAATTTGCCAGGAATTCCAAAGAAATACTTCTGAAGACTGAGTCTCTCCTCCAGGCTGAAAAAGTAAAGCCAAATGGCATGAAATATCCTTGAAGAATGTTAAATATACATCAGTCATACCTTCCTCACAACCAACATGGGATAGTAAAAAATAAAAAAGAGGGCTTATATTCATATTTGAACAAATTTAAAAAGATATAGTAATGTTTTCTTTGTGAATCAGAATGCAAAAACTTACTATAATAAGTAAATTGGGCATATGCATTTAGTGTATGATTCATGGGTGGCGCTAGTGGTAAAGAACCCGCCTGCCAGTGCAGGAGACACAAGCAATACGGGTTTGATCCCTAGCTCAGGAAGAGCCCCTGGAGGAGGAAATGGCAACCCACTCCAGTATTCTTGCCTGGAGCATCCCATGAATAGAGGAGCCTGGAGAGCTACAGTCCATCGGGTCACAAAGAGTCGGACATGACTGAAGTGACTTAGCACACAATTAACTATAAGCACTGTATAGAAAGTTTTTTAAAAATCCAAAAAATATACTTTGAATGTATACTTCTTAATGGTCCCAGATTTTTCAAAAAAGAAATCAATAATCTAGCTCCAAATAAAAATGTAAAAACCTGATACTACTAAAAATATGAATTTGTTATCAATCTTCCACTAAAACTTCTAATTTTAAGAGACTGGATTAAATGAAAATGCACTCTTAGTTTGGGTGAAACTGTGTGAGAGATAATAAATAATCCTACATTACCACTATTATCATCAAGAACAAATATGTATTTACCAGTGTTTTATACTGACAAAGAGAAAATGAAATTTGCTCAGTCGTGTCCAACTCTTTGTGAGCCCATGGACTATACAGTCCATGCAGTTCTCCAGGCCAGAATACTGGAGTGGGTAGCCTTTCCCTTCTCCAGGGGATCTTCCCAACCCAGGAATCGAACCCAGGTCTTCCACATTGCAGGCGGATTCTTCAGCAGCTGAGTCACAAGGGAAGCCCATTTATATTGATAGGCAGCTTACAAATTTAGGAGAGGCTGTGAGGGTGTGAGTGTTGTTTCCCAGGTGGCGCTAGTGGTAAAGAACCCATCTGCCAATGCAGGAGATGTAAGAGACCCGAGTTTGGTCCCTGGATCAGGAAGATCCCCTGGAGAAGAGCATTGCAACCCACTCCAATAGTCCTGCCCGGAGACCCATGGACAGAGGAGCCTGGCTGGCTACCGTCCATAGGGTTGCAAAGAATCAGACACAACTGAAGCAACTTAGCTTGCAGCATATGAGCATTAGAGAGAATATACTAAAGGAGTATCAAAGAACTAGTAAGAGGACCCTATCCCCCAACCAAAAAAAAAAAAAAAAAAAAAAAAACCTGCCACTAACAGGAAAATAATCATACCATAATTGCTAACACTTAGGAGCATTTTCTATGTTTAGGGATTTTCATTCAGGACCTTTCCTACAACATCCCTCTCTAAGCTTTAGAACAAGCCTACCTTTATTATTCCCATCTCATAGAAAAAGAAAACAGAAGTTCCAAGAAATTAATTGGCTCCTTCAAGGTCTCTTTACACATTAGCGATGGCACACAAAATTCACACCAGGTCATCTTGACTTCACTGATGGGGTTCTTGGGTGCTGTGGAGAGATTGTATGGAGAAGGATCATTTGAGTGTGACTAGAAAAGCCAGTAAGACTTAGATATGCTCTCACACCTGATTGGCAGAGAAAATAGTCAATTTGATTATCAGGGCTCTGCGTTGCATTTCGAGCATGACATTTTTCAGTGAGCATGGTTTGTATCCTGAGCAGAGAAATTTCTGTTTTGTGGGAAGGACCAATTCTTCACAGGACATTTAACAAGCCAGGTCTAGCCCATTAAATACTGCATGGAATAGGACTCTTCAGCCAGTATGACCATCAAAAACTTACCTCTGCTCATTTCTAGACATCTAGGGGGAGTTATTATGCCTGTTTCGATTCAGTGCCCAGCCAGCTCCTTTTCTGGTTAAAACAGTTTCAATATTTCAACAAGAAATTCAGAAAAAAACAAAAAAACTTCTACTATGGCTTTGTGCACACACACACACACACACACACACACACACACACACACAATGGAGGGGGGCCCAGGAAAGCACAACAGAGAATCAAAACAAAGAGATCCTCCACATAGACTTTTCTGTGTGGGGCTGAGCCCCACCACCTTCACCCTCCTATTGCTAGATACAAATGCAATGCTATTGCTTTATAAATGGAGACACTTGGTCCATACAGGGACTATGGTGGGACTTTTGGAAGCAGAGAAGATTCTGGAGGTTTGGTAAGCATCCAATGAAGCACTGGGAGCAATGCAATCTCGTTCCACTGTGAGGAAAAAAACCTGTGGAATAGCTCTGTGTGTGTGTGTGTGCATGCTCAGTCATGTCCAACTCTTTGTACAGCCCCACAGACTGTAGCCTGCCAGGCTCCTCTGTCCATGAGAATTTCCCAGCAAGAATACTGGAGTGTTATCATCTCTTCCTCCAGAATAGCTTGATGGTGATGCACAAAGATCTGATTGATTCATCTCCTACAAACTGATCATTTATTTCTAGAGGTTCCGTGACTCACTCTGTCATCTCAGAGTTGGGGTAGAGTGACAATACTGCCAGCACTTAGTCCCCGCTTGGTGGGGGTTGAGGGCATCCTCTGTTTACTTGGCAGGAGTTGCTTCAGCAATTTATCCCTAACTTTCCTCAACCAAATTAAATTGTCCAGAATAAGAAAAAAATGGAGATTTGAGAGTAGACAGGGCTGAAGATAGGTTAAATCTGCAGAATAACTTGGAAGAGTTGCCCAATTCATCCCCCATGTGCTGCAGTACAAGAATAAAATGAAAAAGGAGAGCTTCACTTTTGTTAGTAGAAACATTACATCACTACTCCTAATTTTTATGAGATTGTCTTATCTCCTGTTCTCTTAGGGTTTGTATCCTTTGCCACCATGCCTGAACTGGCACAAAGAATCAAAATGAATTTTGCCTTGGGTCCTGTGGTTTCCTTCAAATATCCCACGGGCATTTTTACCAGATTTTTCCAACTTCCAAGTTCTGCAATCAAGGTAAGTTCTTCTTTTTGCCACAGTGTATATGAGGATCTCCTTTTGGATGATAGATCCTTATTATTTGAAAATCTACTATGAAACAAAAGTAGGACATTTTGAAATCTGTAGATTACAGACTCTAGATTACACTCTGGTGTCAGGTGCTCTGTGTGGGTGTGTTTGTGTGTGTGTGTGTGTGTGTGTGTGTGTGTGTGTGTGACGGTGTCTACAGCTCTCATATACAATTCACTATACTCAGTTATTAATAGACCTGAGTATAAGTCAGAATTTCTAGCTGAGCTGACTGCTATCGCAGTTTCCTTGTTCTGTTCTTGTTCCACTGGGCATGTCAATGAATTCACAGTGCCCAAATGGAAGACATTTTTCAATTTGATCACTGATGTCCTTGACTTTGATGTTAGATAAGCTGGAATAATATACCCCTTTCCATATGGGAGCTTGCTTCAATTTACTAAAGCTAAAATGCCAAAGCCTAAATATTTTACAGCTGAATTATTCACTCAAATATTTATTGGTTATTTTCCAATGGTTGGAAGACTGGTTTGATGGTCAATTGTGAATTTAAGATTTTATCCATTAAAAGTTTTTTCTGTTTGCTTTTTGTTTCTCTAAAAAGCTCATTAACTAGTATTTTATCAAGATTGCCCCTTAAATGTGAATTGAAGTATAAAATAAGCTGTGACCAAAATGAGATCAAAGAGGCAAGTCAAGATATCAATAATTCATTTTTAAGATGAGGTCCTGGTTTGTGGTGGAGAGGTAAGAGTGGGAAAAAAAGGATTTGTGAGTTAACCCAAGGAAAAACTTTCATGAGCCCTAATGATTGATTTGATAGTAGGTTTTTGGTATTGTTTAATAAACTTAGTTCTAGAACTAAGACCTAGAACTTCTAGGTCTTCAGCTTCAGCCGATCAACTTCAGCTTCTCTACCCTCTTCAGGTGGTAGAGGCATAGATTTTAATTACTGTGATGTTGAATGGTTTGCTTTGGAAATGAACCAAGATCATTCTGTCACTTTTGTGGTTGCACCCAAGTACTGCATTTTAGACTCTTGTTGGTTATGAGGACTACTCCATTTCTTCTGTGAGATTCTTGCCCACAATAGTAGATGTCAAGGTCATTTGAATTAAATTCACCCATTCCCATTCATTTTAGTTCACTGATTCTTAAGACGTCGGTGTTTATTCTTACCATCTCCTCTTGATTACATCCAATTTTCCTTAATTCACTGATCTAACATTCCAGGTTCCTATGCAATACTGTTTTTGGTGTCATATCTTTTTGTTCTTTTATACAGTTCATGAGGTTATCACTGCAAGTATACTGGAGTGATTTGCCATTCCCTCCTCCAGTGGATCATATTTGGTGGGGAAAGACTAGAGATCTCTTCAGGAAATTGGAGATATCAAGGGAACGTTTCACCCAAAGATGGGCACAATAAAGGACAGAAGCAGCAGAGACCAAGCAGACATTGAAGAGATTAAGAAGAGATGGAAAGAAAACATGGAAGAACTGTACAACAAAGATCTTAATGAACTGGGTTACTACAATGCTGTGGTCGTTCACCCAGAGCCAGACATTCTGGAGTGAGAAGTTAAGTGGGCCTTAGGAATCACTGATGTTAATAAAGCTAATGGATGCAATGGAATTCCAGTAGAACTATTCAAAACCCTAAAGGATAATGCCATCAAGGCATACGTAAGCAAATCTGGATGACCCAGCAGTGGCCACAGGACTGGAAAAGATCAGTTCTCATTTCAATCCCCAAGAAGAGTAGTACTAAAGAATGTGCTAACCATCAGACAATTGCACTTATTTCCCATGCTAGTAAGGTCATGCTTAAAATATTGCATGCTAGGCTTCAGCATTATCTGAACCAAGAACTTCCAAATGTACAAGATGGGTTTAGAAAAGAAAAAGGAACCAGAAATCAAATTGCCAGCATTCACTGGATCATAGAGAAAGCAAGGGAACTCCAGAAAAAAACATCTACCTCTGTTTCATCAACTATGCTAAAGCCTTTGATAGTGTGGTCATAACAAAAATGTGGCAAGCTCTTAAAGAGATGGGAATACCAAACCATCTTACCTGTCTTCTGAGAAACCTGTATGTGGGTTGAGAAGCAAAAGTTAGAAGCCTGTATGGAACAGCTGATTGATTCAAGATTGAGAAAGCAGTATGACAAGGCTGTCTGTTGTCACTTTGTTTGTTTAACCTATACACTGAGCACATCTTTTTTTTTTCCATTTATTTTTATTAGTTGGAGTCTAATTACATCATTGCAGTGGTTATTGTCATACATTGAAATGAATTAGCCATGGATTTACATGTATTCCCCATCCCGGTCCCCCCTCCCACCACTGAGCACATCTTAAGAAATGCTGGGCTGGATGAGCTACAAGCTGGAATCAAGATAGGCAGGAGAAACATCAACAACCTAGATATGCAAATGCTACCACTCTAACAGCAGAAAGTGAAGAGGAACTAAAAAGCCTCTTGATGAGAGTGAAGGAGAGTGAAAGAGATGGCTTGAAACTAATATTAAAAAACCTAAGATCATGGCATCCAATCCCATTACTTCATGGCAAATAGAAGGGGGAAAGGTGGAAGTAGTGACAGATTTCCTCTTCTTGGGCTCTAAAATCACTACAGAAGGTGACTGCTTCTTGGCAGGAAAGTTGTGACAAACCTAGATGTGTGTTGAAAAGCAGAGACATCACTCTTCCAACAAAGATCCGTATAGTCAAGGCTATGGTCTTCCCAATGGTCATGTAGAGTTGTGAGAGCTGAACTGTAAAGAAGTCAGAGTGCCAAAGAAGTGATACTTTCAAACTTTGGTGCTGGAGAAGACTCCTGAAAGTCCCTTGGACACCAACGAGATCAAACCAGTCAATCTTAAGGGAAATAAACCCTGAATATTTGTTGGAAGTACTGATGCTAAAGCTGAAGCTCCAGTATTCTGGTCATCTGATGTGAACAGTCAACTCATTGGAAAAGTCCCTGATACTGGGGAGGATTGAGAGCAGAAGAGGGTGTCAGAGAATGAAATGGCTGTATGGACATGAACGATGCAATGGACATTAATTTGAGCAAACTTCGGGAGATGGTGAGGGACAGGGAGGCCTAGTATGCTGCAGTCCATGGGGTCTCAAAGAGTCAGACATGACTGGGCAACTGAACAACAGCAACAATAAACTTAGGGATTCCCAGGTGGCTCAGTAATAAAGAATCCACCTGCCAATGCAGGAGATGCAAAAGATATGGGTTCGATCCCTGGGTCAGGAAGATCCCCTGGAGGAGGAAATGGCAGTTCACTCCAGTATTCTTGCTGGGAAAATTCCATGGACAGGGGAGCCTAGAGAGCTACAGTCTATGGAGTTGCAAAGAGTGGGACACAACTGAATGACTGAGTACAATGCTTCCCTCATAGCTCAGTTGGTAAAGAATCTGATGCAATGCAAGAGACCTGGTTTCAATTTCTGGATTGGGAAGATCCCCTGGAGAAGGAAATGGCAATCCACTCCAGCATTCTTGCCTAGAAAATCCCATGGACAGAGGAGCCTGTCAGGCTACAGTCCATGGGGTCGCAAGAGCTGGACACGACTTAGCGACTAACCACATGTAACTTCCCTTTTGTGTGATTGATAGTTCTATTTCAAAATGTGTTGCCATCCATTAGTTTGGGATGTTTTCTACATTGGGGCAGAGTTAAGCAGGCAAACTAGTTAAAGTAAATGCAGAGATAGACACATCTATCACTAAGTATACCTGTTTTGCATATGTATTGCTTTGCCTACATAGGTCAGGTCTGAGGTAAGTATTTTCCCTGATTTATCTCAGTTTCTAATTCTCTCTTGTCAAACTTTCTGCCACTTTAAGTCCCATTCTCTACTCCTACCCCTCCATAATATCTGTTGCCCCTAGGAGCTCCAGTCGTTCCATCGGAGATCCCCACCCAAGATTGCTTTTATAAACTCTAGAAGTTTTAATCATGCTGTCGCCCAAGACATCATTTTCTCCTATCCAATGGCACCCTCCCTTCAGTACACCATCCTCTACTTTTCAGCATGAAAGTCAAGCGCTCTGGTACACTACCAGAAAGGTGATGTGTACATAGGTAAAACCCTGCTTTTCTTTCCTAATCAAGGCAATGTTTGACCTTAAAGAAGAAACTGTTCTACTTCTCTTGCCAGTTAATGAGAAATAGAGGCAATTGCTGATTGGACCGATTTCAGGGGCGCTTTCACAATGGATAAATTAGCTAATTTGGGGCTGAAGGTCGTTGCTACCATCTACTTGTAAATGATGTTTGATGATATTCCTACTGATGCAATGGACATTAATTTGAGCAAACTTCGGGAGATGGTGAGGGACAGGGAGGCCTAGTATGCTGCAGTCCATGGGGTCTCAAAGAGTCAGACATGACTGGGCAACTGAACAACAGCAACAATAAACTTAGGGATTCCCAGGTGGCTCAGTAATAAAGAATCCACCTGCCAATGCAGGAGATGCAAAAGATATGGGTTCGATCCCTGGGTCAGGAAGATCCCCTGGAGGAGGAAATGGCAGTTCACTCCAGTATTCTTGCTGGGAAAATTCCATGGACAGGGGAGCCTAGAGAGCTACAGTCTATGGAGTTGCAAAGAGTGGGACACAACTGAATGACTGAGTACAATGCTTCCCTCATAGCTCAGTTGGTAAAGAATCTGATGCAATGCAAGAGACCTGGTTTCAATTTCTGGATTGGGAAGATCCCCTGGAGAAGGAAATGGCAATCCACTCCAGCATTCTTGCCTAGAAAATCCCATGGACAGAGGAGCCTGTCAGGCTACAGTCCATGGGGTCGCAAGAGCTGGACACGACTTAGCGACTAACCACATGTAACTTCCCTTTTGTGTGATTGATAGTTCTATTTCAAAATGTGTTGCCATCCATTAGTTTGGGATGTTTTCTACATTGGGGCAGAGTTAAGCAGGCAAACTAGTTAAAGTAAATGCAGAGATAGACACATCTATCACTAAGTATACCTGTTTTGCATATGTATTGCTTTGCCTACATAGGTCAGGTCTGAGGTAAGTATTTTCCCTGATTTATCTCAGTTTCTAATTCTCTCTTGTCAAACTTTCTGCCACTTTAAGTCCCATTCTCTACTCCTACCCCTCCATAATATCTGTTGCCCCTAGGAGCTCCAGTCGTTCCATCGGAGATCCCCACCCAAGATTGCTTTTATAAACTCTAGAAGTTTTAATCATGCTGTCGCCCAAGACATCATTTTCTCCTATCCAATGGCACCCTCCCTTCAGTACACCATCCTCTACTTTTCAGCATGAAAGTCAAGCGCTCTGGTACACTACCAGAAAGGTGATGTGTACATAGGTAAAACCCTGCTTTTCTTTCCTAATCAAGGCAATGTTTGACCTTAAAGAAGAAACTGTTCTACTTCTCTTGCCAGTTAATGAGAAATAGAGGCAATTGCTGATTGGACCGATTTCAGGGGCGCTTTCACAATGGATAAATTAGCTAATTTGGGGCTGAAGGTCGTTGCTACCATCTACTTGTAAATGATGTTTGATGATATTCCCTAGGTAAAGATTGATTTATAAATAGTTACTTTTCCCAAATAACTTGGTCTCCTTGAGCAAAACAGGAAAAAATATATGAATATAAATAGATTCCTAAGAATTCTCATTCCGGAGGTGAAGGGAACATCAAGAAGTCTGAAAATGGTTCTTGAAAGAATAATTATTTTTTATTTTTTACAGAAGTTGTTTGGTACCAAAGGTTTCTTTTTAGAAGAAAGTATAGGGAAGTCACCTTCTATCAAAATCTGCAACAATAAAATATTATGGGTGATATGTAGTGAATTTATGTCCTTATGGGCGGGATTCAACAAGAAAAACATGAATATGGTATGTATAATGATTTTAGAGCCATTTGATGCTTTTAGAAATTCCAGCTTTCCTTTGGTTCTTCTTTTTGTTTTTTATTTTATTCATTTATTTTTGGCTGTGCCGGGTCTTTGTTGCTGTGCCGGCTTTCTCTGGTTGCAGGGAGTTGGGGCTACTCTCTAGTTGAGGTGCGTGGGCTTCTCATTGCAGTGACTTCACTTGTTCTGGAGAACGGGTTCCAAGCACACTTACTTTAGTAGTGTGGTTCCTGGGTTCTAGAGCACAGGCTCAATAGTTGTGGCCCATGGGCTTAGTTACTCCACGACATGTGGGTCTTCCCAGATCAGGAATCAAACCTGCATCTTCTGCATTGGCAGGTGGGTTCTTTACCACTTAGCCACCAGGGAAGTTCCCTTTGTTTCATTTTAATGTATCTATCATATTAAAAAATGAATGTGGTATTGTTAACTCATTTTAAAGGCAGAGATTTTCTATGCATAGAAGATTAAATATTCAATGGACCATAAATGTGAAGACTGAAAAAGAGAATAGGCAGCTTCATCCTTTCATCTCTGGTCAATTTGAGATAATAGTTGTCCAACAATAGGTAGTGGTTTCACATGTTTGCAATTAGCCACCACTTAATATAGTCAGCTTGATTTTATAATACAATGCATTAAAAAATAAAATGAAATCTTAGGAAAGAAGCTTTAAACTTATTCTTTATGCCCTCTCTTGTTGGGTCACTTTAGCCTCAAATAAAATTCACCACTTGGAACATGTAAGACAGCATGGAATGGAATGGAATGAATTCTGCCTTGCCATTCTACTGCAATATTTGTTTATTCATTCTTAGCATAATTATTCTCTGCTTCTTAAAGGCACAGTTTTTTCATTGGGTGGTTATTGCTTTAACATGTTTTGTTTTGTTTTACCTTCAGAGCCGAATGGATGTGTATATGTCCCATGCTCCCACTGGATCATCAATACAGAACATCCTGCATATAAAACAGGTAGTGTCTTTGACATGGAAAACCATTTCCCTTATTTTCTTTATATTTGAAAGGACAGAGTGAGCACATCTGTCCTAAGAAGCTTAGCAGCTAGCTTCCATTTTACCTTTTTCACCATCTTTATAGTTGCATTTCCCTGGATTTTAAGAGAAAGAACAAAGTATGCACAGACCAAGTAGGTCACATAAATGAATCCCATTTTAAATATGACCTTGCAAAGTAGGCTCTGAGCTGAAACTAAACATAAACTGGGAGAACCTCAGAACTTAGCCTTCCCCAGAGAGAGAAATATCTGACATTTGATTTCCCTCAGTGAGTCTTGGGTTCTCACTAGCTTTTCCTTCAAACCAAGGATTTCATTGCCTCCATTTCTCTTGATCTTGTTTTGCACACTGGTAAAATTTATTTATATCCTCTGGTGATGCAGAAGCCTTATTTTCTTCCCAGCATACAGTATGCTTTTCTAAGATTTGCTACTAACAATCTTAACCCTAATTCTTATTCTTAATACTACTTTTCTATAAAACATTTCATTCCAGCTTTACCATTCTGATGAATTCAGAGCTTATGACTGGGGAAGTGAAGCTGAAAACATGCATCACTACAATCAGGTGAGTTACTCAGCGCAACCCCAGAAGGTTGGCTTTGAAAAATTATAATGATAAATTATTTGACAGTAAAAATAATCCTAGTTGGCACTTGGTCAGATTCACAATGGTAGACAGAGATTTTTAAAGTGTATTTTAAATATGTATTTATTTCAAAAAATCTAAAAATAAAAGAAGTATATACTAAGGAAGTTAAATCATTTATAATTCCTCCACCCAGAGATAACTAGATGGATCAATATTTTGTTACATTTCTTCCAATCTCAACATCACTACTTTTTACAACTTTTGATCTTGTTTTTCACTTATAGTCACAGCAAAACATAACTAATGTTGCAGGAGAGATTTTCAATATAATTTTAATGGCTGCATAATAATGAAAATTGTGTGATAAAAATTTATATAGTAAATGAATACATATTTCTTGATGCAACAGAAAAAAATAAAACTGCACATAGAAGTTAAGAGAATTATCCACCTGTGAAGCATTGAGTCTTAAAGGCATCTTTTTCCCTCTAACTTTACACATCAAAATTTATATATTCATTTAGCCATCCTACACTTTTAATCAATGATGTTGCCACCTTCCTTTGTTTTCTAAGTCAGCGGCTGGGCTTCTCAGCATGAACTAAAAAGTTAAATTAAATTTTTCCTTTATTTTCCCAAACTGACATACCTAAAGCTATGGGTGCAAATATAGGTCAATTAAATTGACTCTGCACAGCAAATAAGTCAATCAGACCAGTCAATTTCTCAGTTGTTGTTTGGTCAATAAGTCATGTCCGACTCTTTCGTAATGCCATAGACGTTACCTGCCAGGCTCGTCTGCCCATGGAATTTCCCAGGCAAGAATACTAGAGTGGATTGCCATTTCCTTCTCCCAGGATCTTCTCCACCCAGGGATGGAACCCATGTCTCCTGTATTGTATTGTCAGGTGGATTCTTTACTGCTGAGCCACCAGGAAGCCCTCAGTTTCTCAGTAACGGATCGAATTGTTAGGGAAATGAATCTACTAGCTCCTAAGACAATGACCATGGTATATAATTATTATCTTTTTTATTATTTTTAATCAGCATGATTAAGATGTGATTTACATACAGTATAAGTCACTGATTTTACATGTTCAACTCAGTGTTTCAACAAATATATTCATTCATGGAACCACATCACAAGCGAGATATTGAACATTTTCATTACCCACAAAAGTTTTCTCCTGTTCCTCAGACAATATAAATTCACAGATGCGTATATTCGCAAATGCTTAGAAAAGGGCCAAAAAATAAACAGCACAGGTTAAAGTGATAACTTTCAAGAAAAGGAAGAAAAGAAAGGTGAAGTGGATGCATGCAAAGGAGTAAAAGGAGGCTCTTATTTTGGATTTCACACACTTTTGTTCTCTTTCATTGTTTTTTATGAACATGTTATATTTATATATTGTTTATATTTACAAGAAAATAAGACAAAAAAATCACATACACATAAAACCATTATTATCAAGTTCTGTTTTTTCAGCTTTATTGAGGTAAAACTGACCCAAAAAATTTAAGATTGAAGTGTATGATGTGATGACAAATATTGAGGGTGCAAATGTTCTCAGAATTTACAGTTAGCTAGCTGGTCCTACCCTACTCCAGGCCAATTCTGTTTTATTTGCTTGTAATTTTGTATCATTGGAAGTCAATTTTTATTCCATTTTCAACAGTGTGTCCTCTTCATAAGTTCCCAACACAACCTCTGTGTCCATTCTATGTTTTCTTGAGAATAAAAAGATTAACTTATGAGGGTAGGAATTTCCTTTTGTTTTGTCCCAGCTGGTAGAGTAGCTGGCACTTACTACTCCCCTGATAATCATTTGCTGTATGGATGAAATTTCTTAGCTTCCCTCTAATCCATCTTAAAATCTTCTGTCTTTTTGATTCTGTCTTTCCTTTCACTCTCAGAATATGATGATCCTCTTATTATCTAAGTTATCCTGTCTTGTGTCCTTGACCCCATCTCTTCTCATCTATTCTTACTGGCTTCTCTTACTATCTTAAATGAACTCCTGTTTCATACAAAAACAAACAGAAACCCTTCCCTCAAGCCTTGAACTCTATCTAAAGTCATGCTTCTATCATTCTGTTTTTATCAACATTTTTTAATATCTAAAGATGTTAAGTATCTCTACTTCTCCACTCACTCCTGAACACTGGAAAAGGTAGTTTGAGTCTTCATCTTTTTATTATAGCTGTTCTATTTAAGGTACCTTTCCTGCTGGCTCACACTATAAAGAGTCTGCCTACAGCGTGGGACACTTGGGTTTGACCCCTCAGTGGGGAAGATCCCCTGGAGAAGGAAATGGCAACCCATTCCAGTATTCTTGCCTGGGAAATCTTGTGGACAGAGGAGTCTGGCAGGCCCCAATCCATGAGATTGTTTGTGGCTTTTAATTGCCAAATATAATAGCCTGTTCTCACCTGTAGTGTTAGTTACCATAGACTCCTTGCAACTTACCACCCAGACTTGGGTTTCCATAATGTAACACTCTCTGATTTTTTTCCCTCCCTTTTTGACTGCTCTCTTTATCCTCTCACGAGCTACTCTCTAACCCTCACCACTCTCACTTATCAGAATTCTCCACAATTCTTCCCATATCTCTCCCCTTTGTGTTTGAATAATTGAGCCATCTCTACAGCTTCAACTGAGGGCTTCACTGGTTCAGTGGCAAAGAATCGGACTGCCAGTGCCAGAGATGTGGTTTCAATCCCTAGGTCAGGAAGATCCCCGAAGAAGGAAATGGCAACCCACTCCAGTAATCTCGCCTGGGAAATCTCATGGACAGAGGAGCCTGATGGGCTATAGTCTATATCATCACAGAATCAGACATGACTTAGCGACTAAACAACTGCTTCAGTTATCCTGCTCTGAGGATAATCCAAACTGCCTGCCTAGATTTTTTCAGGACCCATTCCTCACAAATTTCTTCAAGTCATCCCACAAACTAGGCAGAGTTATGAGAAATGACTGTGCCTTGTCTCTAAAACTTCTGAAGGACGCCCAATTGCCTTAACCTGGCATTTAGACCTTGACTGTCTCCAGTCTTATATCCTACTGTCTTCCCTCACATAGTTTCTTTTCTGGGTGCACTGGGCAATTTGCCATTTCTGACCATGGCACACATGCTGTATCTGCCTGCTGGAAAGTGCTCCCACATTCATCTTTATCTTTAAAATACAACCATTCCTCAAGTGAAAATGAGTGTTAGTTGCTCAGTTGTGTCCAACTCTTTGCCACCCCTTGGATGGTAGCCCCCTAGTCTCCCTTGTCCATGGGATTCTCCAGGCAAGAATACTGGAGTGGGTAGCCAGGCTCTTCTCCAGGGGATATTCCTCAGCCATGGATCAAATCCCAGTCTGCTGCATTGCAGGCAGACTTTTTACCATCTGAACCAACAGGGAAGCCCTTCAAATGACTGCTTTTTCATGAAACCTCAGGTGAAAATAATTTCTTCTTTGTCTTCACTTCCATCACATTTGGGGAATGTTTTATAGCATTTAACATACCCTCCTTTGTATACAAATATTTATTTAGCCATTTTGCCTTGTTCCTTCACACTCCTTGAATATAGGGATCATTGCATGCTGTCTTCCTATGGTCGTCATAAATACTCATCTAGTAGTCTCTCTACTTATTTGAAGTCAGTTGTTGCTCTGAGGAGCTTCCTCTCATGAATGTCCTTTCTCTCTCTTCCGTAGAGTCGTCCTCCACTATATGATCTGACTGCCATGAAAGTTCCTACTGCTATTTGGGCTGGTGGAAATGATATTCTTATCACACCCCGAGATGTGGCCAGGATACTCCCCCAAATCAAGAATCTCCGTTACTTCAAACTATTGCCAGATTGGAACCACTTTGATTTCATCTGGGGCCTCGATGCTGCTCAACGAGTATACAGCAAAATCATAGATTTGATGAAGTCATATCCCTAACTGCAATATACCTACTTTTCAGTTAGGAGTTGCTTCCAAGCCCATAAGAGGCTTTGGGGAAATACTAATCTACTTAAGTAGCAGTGAGATGTACACTGGCATCCTTCACCTTGTTACTTTTTCTGATGTGTTCTCTTATCACGTCATCCCAGCTAGTAATTATTCCAACTGTGCTGTTCTCTCTCAAACAAATGTCCACACCTGAACTCTCAGGATCTCTTCCTTGCCAAGTCCCTGCTTTTCATCTAAGAAGCCCTGGTAAACTCTTCTCTGCTAACTGTACATTTCAGGGAAGAATTAAAAGAGGCCTTTGTCTTTCTTATTTCAAATACATATAGTGGCTTCATGCAAATAATACCCACTCCCCAACCCCTCTTTTCAAAGGATTGAATGTAAGCATAGGAGTGCTGGCCTAGAAAAATCTTGTTGGGGGTCATTTGGGAAAATATTTCAGGTGACTGTAATCTTGTGGCTTTCTCGAAATCACAGTTAGAGCAATAGTCAAATAGTCATCTATAAACAAGCCATGAACTAAGCCTGATCCACATCAAGCTTGAAAAGAATAGCAGAATGGAAAACTAACCAAATTAAAGTATCCAGGAGTTTTACAGTTACAAGCTGGGGGATGGGGGGCAGACAAGATGGAGGATGATTAGGATAAACTGAATTTCTAGTTGTTAAAATTTTTCACTTAGACTACTGTCTTTAAAACAAGGTCAAATTGAATAAAGCTTTTTGAAAATAGTGTACTAAAACTCATAGACAGTAGTCTTTAGTGATAGCATTTGAAAGCTCATTCTTTCTTGTTTTGCTCTAAAGATAAACTAAACTGATCAGCCATTATGTCTTCATTATCAAAGTAGAAATTATACTACTGCATTCACACCCTTTAACATTTAAAGCAGTTTTCTGAAAGGCTAACAGAGGACCAGCAAGAGAGGCACTAGGAATTCTAGAGTCTTGCTTTATCTCAGTCTCTAACTGATGCCAGACACTGAGTCTAGGACTCAGTACAGAGTTCCAAAAGTAGTATGAAGTTTTAGTGTCAGTTCTATACTCCTGAATGAATTCCAGGTGTGAACCTGGAAAAGCCCTTTCCTTCCATGAAGATATAATTAATGGAAAACTGTCTATGAGCCTCAAGGAATCATAAATTTAATAAATAATGCATAACACAAACTTTCATCAGTTTAACTTAAAACAGATAAGTGTGATAGTTCACAAATATTTGCATGCAGGATCAAGGTCTTTGGATGCTGAATACCATATAATCATTCTCCAATAAATAATCTATAATTGATCATTTTTAGTTTTAGTGTCTTTAAAAGGGATGATAATTTTTTAAAATTTGGGAAGCAAGTTTAAATGAAAATCCTTTTATATCCTTATAGTATTTATTTACCAAGATTAAACTAATTTTATCACAGTTTTTAGTGACTTTTATTGAGCTTGTTCAAAGATTACATGGTAGTTTTCATACAAACAATACGTTCTATTTTGCATGCATGCATACTAAGTTGCTTTAGTCATGTCTGACTCTTTGCAACCTTATGGACCATAGCCTGCCAGGCTCCTCTATTCATGAGGATTCTCCAGGAAAGAATATTGGAGTGGGTTGCCATGCCCTCCTCCAGGGGATCTTCCCAACCCAGGAATTGAACCTGTGTCTCTTATATCTCCTGCATTGATCGACAGGTTCTTTACCACTAATGCTTCCTGGGAAGCCCACATTCTATTTTAGTCACATTTAATTAAATTAATCAAAGCTCATTGATAACTATGAGTTATCAATAACTCAACTGATAGAACAAATAGATAAGACTGAGAACAGATATCTAACTCTTAGTAAGCATATGACTCAACTAGAAGGATTGGAAGGATGTGACTATAATATATTAGCCTACTAGTTATGAATATTTAAGAGGTTTTGGCCATCAGTTAATATGCTTACATATAGAAAAAAGGGCATTGGTTAATATAGGAATCTGGTTAAGCAAGGGTCAATTAAGAGAGCTTCAATAGGATTTGTCCTATTCAGCTACCGCTACAACAATCCTGTGCAATAAACAACTCAGTGGCTTACAACAGCAAACATTTATTTTTTATGCTCACAAGTCCACAGTTTGGCTGGTGTGGCTCCATTTTACAGAGATCACCTGGCCTTGGCTCAAAGCTGAAAGCTGGGTCCTGATCTGCTCAATACCTTCTCTTCATTCTGGAACTAACAGCCCTCAGGATTATGTTCTTCATGTGATAGATCCCAAGAACACAAGAGGGTGAACAAAATCACACTAGAATATTTGAACCTCTTCACATGCCTTCAGCTAATTCAGATCACAGGACCAAGCCTTACCTCAATGGTGCAGAGTAGTCTGCTTCACCTACAGGAAGAAACTGCAAACCACATGCCAGAAAGTGTGGATATAAAATGCTATTACACAGGAATGAAGAGTTGGGGAAGATACTCCATTCTACCATACATAGGCACAAAATCTGAAAGATAAAAATAGGGAATAAAAAGTAAGTTTTCCTCTTTCTCCCAACTCCTTATCATACACTCTTTCCTTCAAAGACACCTAACTCTTACCAATATTTTTGTGTGTCTTTCTACAGATTATGGTATGCTTATTCAAATGAATCCACAGATACCCATTTAGTTTTTTCTCCTTTTGGTACCATATTGTACATTCTTTACCATGTCTTGCTATGATCACTTACTATCTCTTGGAAATCATTCTCCATCAACTCACATGGAACATTATTAAAGGTTACATGGAAATTCATCAGTAGAGATTATGATGAATTAGGAATTTTTTGTAATAATTACATACAGTATTGTAGAAAATATTGTACAAATACCAGTTTAAACTTTATAGAAATATCATAAATTATCTTTGAACCAGAATTATTGGTTCAAAGAGAATGTAGAATTACAATTTGAGTTAATTCCTTGTCTCTGGTGGCTCAGCAGTACAGAATCTGCTTCCCAATGCAGGAGATGCAGGTTCAATCCCTGGGTCAGGAAGATCCTCTGCAGAAAGAAATGGCAACCGACTCCAGTACTCTTGCCTGGGAAATCCCATGGACAGAGGAACCTGGCGGGCTACAGTTCATGGGGTCACAAAGAGTCAGACACAACTTAGCGACTAAACAACAGCTCAACCAAAGCTGAATTGTATGCTGATGCCATCACTAACATGTATAGGGACCTAAAGGGAAATGTCAGTTCCCTAAAAGCTTCCACTAACTTAACTACACAATTCTCTGCCCATGATTACAAAACATTGATGTGATTCTCATTACATTTTAGAGTTCTGTGTGATTTAAGTGCTTTGGGGTAGAATGCAAACAGATTGTTGGTATTTTTGATAGGTTAAGAACTACTTTTCCTAGCCAGTGTCAACATGTAACAGGACTTTAGTCCCATCAAAACTTCAGTCACTTTTAAAATAAAACAAACAAAAATCTCATCAGTATCATCATACCTCCCACAGAACCAACCCAAATACAAATAATAATGATGAAAATAGTATGGTTCAGTTCAGTTCATTTGCTCAGTCAGCTCTGACTCTTTGCAACCCCATGAACCACAGCACGCCAAACCTCCCTGTCCATCACCCACTCCTGGAGTTACACAAACTCATGTCCATTGAGTCAGTGATGCCATCCAAACATCTCATCTTCTGTCGTCCCCTTCTTCTCCTGCCCTCAATCTTTGCCAGCATCAGTTCAGTTCAGTTCAGTCACTCAGTCGGGTCCAACTCTTCGTAACCCCATGAACTGCAGCATGCCAGGCCTCCCTGTCCATCACCAACTCCCAGAGTCCACCCAAACCCATGTCCATTGAGTTGGTGATGCCATCCAACCATCTCATCCTCTGTTGTCCCCTTTTCCTTCTGCCCTCAATCTTTCCCAGCATCAGGGTCTTCTCAAATGAGTCAGCTCTTTGCATCAGTGGCCAAAGTATTGGAGTTTCAGCTTCAACATCAGTCCCTCAAATGAATACCCAGGACTGATCTCCTTTAGGATGGACTGGTTGGATCTCCTTGCAGTCCAAAGGACTCTTAAGTCTTCTCCAACACCACAGTTCAAAAGCATCAATTCTTCAGTGCTCAGTTTTCTTTACAGTCCAACTCTCATATCCATATATGACCACTGGAAAATCCATAACCTTGACTAGATGGACCTTTGTTGACAAAATAATGTCTCTGCTTTTTACTATGCTGTCTATGTTGGTCATAACTTCAGTTTTCCACAGTTTATTGTGATCCACACAGTCAAAGGCTTTGGCATAGTCAATAAAGCAGAAATAGATGTTTTTCTGGAACTCTCTTGCTTTTTTGATGATCCAGCAGATGTTGGTAATTTGATCTCTGGTTCCTCTGTCTTTTCTAAAACCAGCTTGAACATCTGGAAGTTCACGGTTCACATATTGCTGAAACCTGGCTTGAAGAATTTTGAGCATTACTTTACTAGCGTGTGAGATGAGTGCAATTGTGTGGTACAATCACTAAAAGCATTATACAAAGTATGGGGCTTTCCAGGTGGCGCTAGTGGTAAAGAATCCACCTGCCAATGCAGGAAGTGCCAGAGACAGGTTTGATCCCTGGGTCAGGAAGATCCCCTGGAGGAGAGCATAAAAACCCACTCCAGTATTCTTGCCTGGAGAATCCCACGGACTGAGTAGACTGGCAGGCTACAGTCCATGGAGTTGCAAAGAATCAGACATGACTGAAGCTACTTAGCATGCACAGCATGCACATATAAAGTATACATAAAAGGACCAGGGATTTTTTGTGTGCCAACTGTTCTCCTTACCAAACCAGTTCTCAGCTGAACTGAAAGTTAATTTGTTTGGAATCCTATGTGGCCTCCATAAGCTTCATCAAAGTTAGCACCTAAAAAAAAAAAAAAGTACCTTCCATGCCCTGCCATCCCTCCCCTCCCCCCCAAGAAATGATTTCTGGAACTCTGTTATAGGTAATGAACACCTGGTCCCAGGCAGCCAAAGCATGCTGCCAACAGAATGGGATGCAGAAGCTCTGCACGTTGAAAATAAAGCCGACAAATCAGCACTGGGAGAGAGGGAAGGGAAAATTACTGATCACATACTTCACAAGATTTATCACAAGGCTATGTGGAAACGGCTTATGTTTACATGTTCAGTTTAGTTCAGTTGCTCAGTTGTGTCCGACTCTTTGCGACCCCATGAATCTCAGCACGCCAAGCCTCCCTGTCCATCACCAACTCCCAGAGTTTACCCAAACCCATGTCCATCCAGTCAGTGATGCCATCCAGCCATCTCATCCTCTGTCATCCCCTTCTCCTCCTGCCCCCAATCCCTCCCAGCATCAGGGTCTTTTCTGAAGAGTCAACTCTTCGCATGAGGTGGCCAAAGTATTGGAGTTTCAGTTTTAGCATTAGTCCTTCCAATGAACACCCAGGACTGATCTCCTTTAGGATGGACTAACAATATTTAAATAATGAAATAGGGAAACAATACTATTCATACCATAAAAATGATACATGTGCATGATGGGAAATGCAAATGTTATAAAAACTGTTCACTACTAAGTAACTTCTTTAAATAGATTTTTGGGATGGGGGGATTGGTGCAATGCATATCCGTATTTCCAATTATTTAAGGTTTGAAAGGCAAATACAGAAAATTACAAGTTTTAAAAAACCTATTCTTTTATTGAAAAGACTTAGTTTTCTAAATAATCAAAGATTTGAGCAAGTCAGTGTGAAATACAAGAAATATTGAAAAGGCATAGTATCTATGATTCATGGGCACATTACATAAAAGGTAAAGAAAATCCTTTTATAAACTTTATTAACAAAAGACTCATAATTTAATATATCTTATGATTTTAACAGAGAGAAAATTAAACTCTAGTTTTATATCAACACATTATTAGCAACTCTGGCAAGGGACTCAGGAAATCTTTCTTATACCGAAGATGGTGTCAAGGAAAAAACCCAAGTGATGGCAATGTTGAAGCCCCCCTCCTCAAATGCTTCCTGAGGAAAGGCCTGATGAAGTCTCTGAAGAAAAATGTCTTCATCATAAAGAGTCTCTTGATCCTCCACATTCTCCATTTATTCCCTTCTCACCTGTTCCTCTCTACCTTCAAACTGAAAGGATCATCTCCTGTCTGAACGCTGCAGCTTTGTATCACTGCTTTTCCTATGGATCTGACACTTTCCTCCTTATGTTGCTCT